CCCCCCTCCCTCCGATAGGTCTCTGGATCCGCCACTGTATGACCATCACATATTATAGCTCGAGTCAGGTACATTGACAAGATAATGGTAAAGACGGTCAACTGTCCCGACTTACCCTACATCCTCGACAGTTTATACCATAGTTACAGCTCTTTGGTGCTGTCGAAGCAGCAGAGCATGCTCCCTATGCATTTGTTACATATACAAGTCTTGTGAGATTTCTGAAAATACAAATTTGGGAAACAGTTGGAAAGCAGAATGTTTAAACATAAATCTGAGAGGTCTGATTTCGATACACCCATTGCCTAATCGAAATTTTGAGTGTTTGACCCATCCAATTTGCATAAGAAATTACGTTCAAATTGTCCCTTTTGGATCTATCTTGGAACAATTTTCTCAACATGTCGGTAATCAAGTAAGCTAAAATAGCGAACAAGCGTCTGTACCTATATTGTTAAGGTCAGAGAATTTGAGAAGGCTTTTCTGAAATAAGAAGTATAATACTGATGATGTATACGCAAATCGAAGCGGAGATCATCATTAGAAGGGGACATTGATTATGGTTTTCCAATCAACAGTGCCTGTTTTGGAATAAGCATTTTTTTCTGCTGCAGACATACGCTTCTGAAGTTCAAATAGCCTCCTTTATGAATTTATCGATTATCAACCCTTTTTGCAATTGATGCTGCTCTTTGAAAGCTTATATGGACATATGGATCTTTTGGTGTGATCTGTAAGTAGAATGTGGTATCACAGCCGGTTAATACATACCCATTGACACGATTTTCGTCAACCTACCTAGACATTTAGCAACAAATCTCTTTCATGTACTTATCAAGGTGTGACATCACACCCTACATCTAGATACACGTAACACCAAAATGTCCACACGAAAAGCTATCAAAGAACACCAGTTCCAAAACTGCTCAAAAGTGACCGAGGAAACTATGTGGTTTGTCGTCAGATTATATGATGGGCACAAAACCTGTAGACAGTAGTATAGATGCAAACAGAAATGGATTGTTCTCTAAGATTTGGAAACTTCTATCCGCGTCGGCGAATTATGTTCCCCCTCTTTTATTTCACATGTCTACATTATCAAGCACTGTATTGGTAGGCAGTGGGCATTACACATAGGCGAGTAAGGACTCCATGATGATGATATTAAGTACGCTCCCCGAAACTGTCATGGAAATGATTTCGTGTACTTGTCGGAAGCAGGTAATTCTAAATGCCGCAATCCGGGTCAATGCACAGTAATGTGTGCATTTAGCAACGGGTTGATGACCTATTCTCCTTCTATCGATTTTTGATAAACAAACAATTAAATTATACCAGAATGAAAATAAAGGCATTTGTGAATTAAATCGTTTGCTCTGTCGTATTTGTGTAAGATTCAAGGAGTATTTTAGGGATACGACAAATAACATAAATATTGTACGTTGATGCGTGGGTTGTCAGTTATGTTTATTATCACATTGCTTGACCATGCCAGTGGTACACTTAGTTTTCCAAGGTTTTTTTTCTAGCTATTTAAAAATAACGATTTTTAGTAATAATGATATACAACATTTATATAGCGTCCTATACACTTTGTAAAATTACTAATATAAAATAAAAATTACTAATATAAAATAAAGTAAATTTACAAAATGTATAGGGCGCTATATAAATGTTGTATATCATTATTACTAAAAATCGTCATTTTTAAATAGCTAGAAAAACAAACATGGAAAACTAAGTGATTATAAGCCATTTTTGTTTCTCAATTATAACTAATTCTATTATCCGTATGTTGTAAAGCGCTTGAGAGTAATTTTACAAAATGTATAGGGCGCTATATAAATGTTGTATATTACTATTGCTAGGTATTCCTACCTAACTAATAGGTCCATATAGCACCATTGGCATCCCTCCTTTACCCGCGCTAACCTAGTGGGGTTTGACGCCGAATGAGCGAGAGGACCTATTTTACGGGTCGTATTATACAGTTTATAGTGGTAATACAGTTCTATCCTATGTTAGTAGGTTATTTAGTAGTATACTAATAGTATTAGTTATAATTGTAAAACAAAAATGACTTACAATCACCTTCATACATTAAGCAAGAAGATAATCATCGCAATGTGCACAAAAATGAATAAATAAAGAGTGGTATTTACATGACGTCTATGCAAATAGTCTAAAATGCAGACGTGAAAAGGTGAGTTTGTATGTCCTTCTTGAATTTGGCCAGGGTCTTTTACTTTCGTAATAGCAGATGGTAAGCTATTCCATAACGTGGCCGAAACCCTCCGAAAGCACGGTTTCCATAGGTCACAGTTCGAGATTTTGGGACACACAACAAAGATTCTGACTCCGACCGCAGTGATCGTGACGGTTGATACAGGGTAACACGCTTCTGTAGGTACTGGGGAACTGTTCCATTCAGTGCCTTGTATGTGTACACCAAAATTGTGTACTGCGACCTGTATCGTACAGGTAACCAGTGTAATGAATATATTTTTCATCAATTCTGACCAATAATTCACATTTTTTTTAGGTCACCTGAGACAAAGTCTCAAGTGTCCTATTGCGATCGCCTTTTGTCCGTCGTCGTCCGTCGTCCGTCGTGCGTCCGTAAACAATTTACATTTTCGACTTCTTCTCCAAAACCCCTGAACCAATTTCAATGACATTTTGCAGGGACCTTCCATGGACACAGGTCAACAAAAACATTGTCCGGTTTAGTCCCAAGCCCCCAGGGGCCTGAGGGACGGGGCAACAAAGGGTTGAATTGACTAAAATTTCAAAAATCTTCTTCTCAAGACCCAGATATGGTAGAATCAAATACTCTTCATAGATGGAAGGGTCTTAAGGTGCTTTACC